GACGGTGTCCGCGGTCGGGTCAATAGCACTGACGCCGACCGCGCACAGGTGCACCGCGGGCGCCGCCGAACGCGCCCGCGGCGGCGTCCGCACGGCACAGGCTCGCGCCGAGCCGGGCCGACCGCCCCCAGGTGCGCCGGCTCCGCATGCCGACGCTGTTACGCCCCGGTGCTCCCCGCGGCGCCAATATTGACCCAGTCGAGCGGCCTCGCCGGCAATTTGGACAATCGAATCAGGCCGTACCGGCCGACCGCGGCGGGTTTCGTGCGCGGGCCGACTGTCGGCATACCGCCGACGCAGCCGGTGTGACGCGCGCCGGCCGCCCGGCACGTCCGCGCTGCTGTGGCGTGGCGAGGCGCGGCGCTGTGCCGGGCCGCCGGCAACGCCGCGCCGCGCACCGCCCGGCCGGGCTCACCGCGCAGACGGGCGAGAGGCGCGGCCGGGAGCGGCCCAACCCGGGAGCACACGCCGCCAGGCTCTGCGTCTGAGTGTACAGCCACACCTGCCGGCCAGCCGAGACAGCGGGCGGCGGCCGGTCAGGTCCTGTGGTGACCGTGAGCCGGAGTCCGTCTGAGGACGGGCAGGAGGGCCGCACCTGACTGACGGGACCGCCTAACAAAAGCTCGGGCCGTCGCCAAGCCAGGCACGGCCGTCTGTTGGGACAGCGTCAACAGGCGGGCCGGGCCTGACAGGGCTGACGTCACCGGCGCCGCCGGTGGCCGCTGGCCATAAGTGCGCCGCGCTGGCCGCCGAGGACGGGACGCACGAGAGCGTGTCTGGACCGGCCGCGCTGAGTCCGGCCCACAGGCCAGGGACCGCGAGCTTCGGCAGCTCAGGGCCGAGCCCAAGCCAGTCGTCCTGGCAGTGGGCCCGGCTAGACCACATAACAGGCTGCACTGATGGCTGGGATCCTCCTCCTCACAAAAAGAAGACATCCTTCTTCCACGGGCGCGCCCGGGCAAAACCGCGCTCCGCGCACTGAGCCATGCGACGGTGATGAAGAGCCCGCTCAGTCAATGCTCCCAGCGATCTCAACCACCACGATCTATTCTCATCACAACGTAACTGGCTTATGATGAATGCACCGATGAATTCATATAATGCTTGCCAGTTACGGCGATCGCGCCTATCGGACAGGTATTCAGGAAAATTCCGTTCACCCAATGTAGAAGCTGGATCGGGTTTTAGACTTCGATCGTGAATTCGGTAAATCTCAAGGCAACAGCGGGCATGGAAGTAGGCATGAACGATTTCAGCTCATAATACGGATCATCGATGTCTACAAAGCGATTTAATGCCACGGAAACAAACGGATTACCAAAATGGCGGACTGTTGGCACGCGTGGTACCATACGATAAACGTGGCAAGTGTTAGCGAGAACACGTTGCGAGAATATGAACTCAGGCAATACGCAAATAACACGAATGTACGCGAATGACCAACGCAAATCACAATCAGCACATCACGTGACGCATTGCACATTGAGCAACAGAGGTAGAGCAATTCAACGACCAACCTGTCCCGGGCAGATGCACTGTCGACCGGTGAACAAAACAATGCCGCGTGGTCATCTGATGAGTTCTACAACAATGCTGGCGCGCGTGCTATCTGGTCCTGGACAATACTGCTGTCTGTCGACACCGAGACCGTCTGGTCGGCTGGTGATGGTGGGGGGGGGGGGGGGGGGGGGTCAGACGGGTCACAGAGTCGGGTTCGACCGTCCGGCAGGCCGCTGAGAGCGCCGGCGCTCGGCGACGCGTCAGCCGGATTTGTTCGTTGACATGTCAGCTCCTGCTAATTCCTAAACAGACTAGTGGTGCAGCGGCCTAGCGGTGTCAGTAGTGGTGCAGCGGCCTAGCGGTGTCAGTAGTAGTGCAGCGGCCTATCAGTGTCAGTCAGTTACACGATGAAAGCTTATCAAAGCCACCTGTGATTTGCAAGCGGATCGCTCGAACAGTGACAGACAAGGGTACACAGAGCGGACGTGGCAGGTGCTCCTGAAGCCGACGGCAGTTGTGCGGCGGCACAGAGCGGGCGTGACAGGTGCTCCTGAATCCGACGGCAACGGTGATAGTTGTGCGGCGGCACAGAGCGGGCGGCGGGAGAGGGCTGACCGGCCGACCGCTGGTCAGGTGTCCTGTGTGTGTGTCCTGCTGGTGACTGTCTGCCCAGAGTCGGCTGGTCAGGTGTCCTGTGTGTGTGTCCTGCTGGTGAGCTGTCTGCCCAGAGCCGGCTGGTCAGGTGTCCTGTGTGTGTGCCCTGCTGGTGACTGCTGTCTGCCAGAGCCGGCTGGTCAGGTGTCCCGTGTGTGTGTCCTGCTGTGAGCTGTCTGCCCAGAGCCGCTGGTCAGGTGTCCTGTGTGTGTGTCCTGCTGGTGAGCTGTCTGCCCGGAGCCGGCTGGTCAGGTGTCCCGGGTGTGGTGTCCTGCTGGTGAGCTGTCTGCCCAGAGCCGGCTGGTCAGGTGTCCCTGTGTGTGTCCTGCTGGTGGCTATCTGCCCAGAGCCGGCTGGTCAGGTGTCCTGTGTGTGTGTCCTGCTGGTGAGCTGTCTGCCCAGAGCGGCTGGTCAGGTTGTCCTGTGTGTGTGTCCTGCTGGTGAGCTGTCTGCCCAGAGCCGGCTGGTCAGGTGTCCTGTGTGTGTGCCCTGCTGGTGAGCTGTCTGCCCAGAGCCGGCTGGTCAGGTGTCCTGTGTGTGTCCTGCTGGTGAGCTGTCTGCCCAAAGCCGGCTGGTCAGGTGTCCGTGTGTGTCCTGCTGGTGAGCTGTCTGCCCAAGCCGGCTGGTCAGGTGTCCCGTGTGTGTCCTGCTGGTGAGCTGTCTGCCAGAGCCGGCTGGTCAGGTGTCCCGTGTGTGTGTCCTGCTGGTGAGCTGTCTGCCCAGAGCCGGCTGGTCAGGTGTCCCGTGTGTGTGTCCTGCTGGTGAGCTGTCTGCCCAGAGCCAGCTGGTCAGGTGTCCCGTGTGTGTGTCCTGCTGGTGAGCTGTCTGCCCAGAGCCAGCTGGTCAGTTGTCCTGTGTGTGTGTCCTGCTGGTGAGCTGTCTGCCCAGAGCCGGCTGGTCAGGTGTCCCGTGTGTGTGTCCTGCTGGTGAGCTGTCTGCCCAGAGCCGGCTGCCGGGCGGCAGTCCACCGCAGGCGGCGAGGCCGCGCGCTGCCTCGCTCACACCACGCACGATCGTTGCCGAGGCCGAGGCCAGGCCGCCGCCGCCGCCTTCTCACCACAAAACACGGATGCTGGTGATGGTGGCGGCGGCGGCCGCGGACGCCTGCCAGCCCTCGTCAATTACTTCTGGACATTCGAGGGAAGCCAGACCAGGCGTCAGCCAAAAGCAAGGAAAAGTTCATTTCCGTCCCACCTGCGACCGTGCTGGAGCAGCATGGACGAGCTGGCCGCTGAGCGCCGCCACCCCTCGGCCGCGGGCGTCGCGAGAGAACGGCTGGGCGCCAGGTCATAGAACAGCGTGGGGGGGGGGGGGGGGGCAACCCGGCGAGCTCCCCGAGCGGTGATCGTCCCCGAGTGTGAATCTCGACTGGCCGCGTTCCATCACGGTCCGATCCGGCTGATGGATGTACCGCGTCCGGAGGCCGGGCGTCACTGCCACGAGCGAGACAGACGTCGCGATCAACCGGCGCCAATCTCGCTTCACGGCCGAGCTATGCTCATCCATCACACCCGAAGCGGCCGGTCGGCGACCACCACACGCCGCCGACGCCGACCCCGCACGCCCGCTCCCGGCCAGCTCCCTCCGCGCCGCCGCCGGCGCCGCGGCCACAATAGCCAGCCCCGTTCGGCGCGATCTCGGCTCCCGCTGCAGCGACGCCGCGGCCTTGACCGCCCACCTAGCCGGGCCATCACCGGCGTCTCACGCGCCAGATGGCGCGGCCTGCGCTGCCACATCGCTCACCTCGCGGCGAGCGGGCGGGGCGGCGCCGCCCGGACGCCGGATAGCTCCGCCCGCCGGGCTGCCCCGGCCGACCCGCCGGCGCGCCACCGGACGTCCAGGGTCGGCCGGGTCAGACCGGCTAAGGAGGTCGGGCTGCCGGCGGCCGCCGCGCGCCGCGGGTCACGGCTGCGGGTCGCACCGGCGCCGGCGCCGAGATAAGCCCCGGCGGAGCGGAAGCGCGCCGAGGAGCCGGCGGCGCGCTGACCTCACCCGTCGCTGGCATCGGTGGGGCGGCGATAACGCGGCTGGGAAGCGGCTCCGCGCGCTGCGGCGGGGTCGGGTGATGGGGGCGTATCCGCGCACCACACCCGAGCCGGCCGCATCGTCCATCCCGGGGGGCGTGAGCAGCGCCACAGCGCGCGTGCGGCGGCGACCGCGCGTGCGCGCTGGCGTGTTGCCGTCCCTCTCTGCTCACGAGCTCTAGCAGCGACAGCGCACACATGCAGTGGCGACCTCGCCTCCTTCTCTCCTCCTCTCTGCTCGTAAGCACTAGCGTGACCAGGGCGCACATGCGTCGGTGTCGGCGGGGACGGCCGGTGGCTGACCGCAGACCGTCACCGCCGAGACCGCGGCGACCGCACGGAGACCGCGCTCGATCCGGCCCGGCCCAGCATGCGGGCCACGTCAGTAGGCCGCCCGTCCGACCCCAGCCACAACCTGACACCGGTGGGCCAGGCTGCGGGCACCGGCGTCAGCCTGACACCGGTGCCGGCCCCGGTCAGCGCCGGCCGGACCGACTGCGACCCGGGCTCCAGCTCCGGTGCACGCGCGGGGGTGCCCGGACACCACCGCCAGGGCGGCGGGCCAAACCTAACCAGTGGCCACCGAGGAAGCCGACAGCTGATGTTGGCAAACGTCTTCACAAACCTCGCCCACAGCCGAGCCGACGGCGGTAGCTGGAAAGTCGGCCGGCAGACCGAGCCGACCGCGAACGAGGCGTGCTCCTAGCCAGTTGGCTGCGCTGGAAATCCGCCGGGCGGAGCTTTGCGAGTCACGTCCGAGACGCCAGCTCGCGCCGGGGTCCGCAGAGCCGCCCGCGAGGCGACGACGACCGGCGCACTGACCTGTTTCCCCAGTCGATCTTGGCGGTGACCTTGATCCGCAGCTCGCGGGTCTGGTCCTGGGTCAGCGTGCCCGTCACCAGCTGGCGTCGCCAGTCCAGCAGCTCGTGCATCACCTTCCAGAGCGTGGCGACCTCGTGCGCCTCCCGGCCCTGTCAGAGAGGCGAACACACGAGGGTCAGCGCTGCACACGGCGCGGTCACACTTGGCATGGCGAACCCCCTCCCCCTCCCCCCAGGCAGACGCCGGGCCAACGCATAACGCAGCGGATTATGGCTTGTGTGGCGAGCGTGGAGTGACGCACGCTCCACGTTTACAGCAAGGCGCGGTGCGGCTCTGGGAAATACCAAGGCTTGTGAGGGGCACCGGAACGCCTGCAAAAGCGCCGCATCCCAAGGTCAGTCGGGGCGGCTGTGAAGGTAGGAGCGCGAAACCTCACAAAGCTGATAACCCGCCTCGCTGTTCGTACCGGTGACAAAACCATCAGTGACTAGCCGTCACTGTGTCAGTGCACCAGTTCACGACTGAGCCTTGTATGTCACTTTCGTCATTCAAAAATAAGAAATTATCAGTCAGCACCGCGATGGTTGGTCTCTGGGAGGGTATTTACGCGTCTACGAGGAACGAGACACTTCAAACAAACACAGCCATCCAAACTGGTTTTTAAAGCCGACCTCAGATAAGGACGCCAGCCGGCTCAGTCCACCAGCGCCCACAAAAACACTGCAACCCGGTATCAGATACGGGTAGATAGCGGCCGTCTCAGAGCCGCAAGCCACCGAGACAACAGCCCCTGGCGACGAGCCCAGCCGGGCAGAACGGGGCGGGCGGCGGCACGGCGGACGTCCGCCAGGCGGTTTCCCACAGACGCCACGTCGGCAACAATACAACGCTCCCACGCAGCGGGGGCGACCAAACGGAGATTTACGGCGAGTGAAATGTCATTTTGGGAGGCCCCGCGGCGCCGGCGCCGCCAGCGCTCCGGACGAGCGACCACTCCCATCAGAGGCTTGGGCGTTTCGGCGCCGGCGACCTTGGTGCAGCTCGGTCAACACTTCCCCGCTGGCTGGCCTGCGGTCCCGCTCGCCGCTGCCACACCGGCGGAGAGTGACAAAGGCCGGCAGCGGGTCCGCCGGGCCGCCAGCCAGCGGCTCGGCGGCCGATCGTTACGGCGAGACGGGCGACAGGGGAGCCGTCGGCACCCTTCGACGCATCGAGCCAGGTCGGGCTCGGCTGTCTGGGACAGTGAGTCAGACCGCTGCCACCTGTCTGAATACTGAGGTCAGGACCTGTCTGACGGAGCCATGTAATCACCGCAGATGGTAACTGAGAAGCCTACATACGCGGTGCCGGTGATTACATGCCACCGCGCGTGACAGTTTGTTTTACGATCGTCGCCAGACCGCAGCACAATACTCGTCACGGATGGGCGAACCTGAACCTCGCGTGGACGGCACAAGGCTCAAATCATGGCCATCACCACGCTGCTTCCAGCCCTTCTCTTTCTCAGGTGTATTTAAGTGGCCTGTGTTCAACACGCCGGTCACAGGCCGCGTCTTTCGCTCGTCTGTCCTGCGCCTTTCGTACGTTTGTTCCCTCCGTACGCGGTATTTAGCCCGTCCGCCGCTCTGCGCCCGCCCTCCGTCCGCGGCGCGTCTGCCCCGCCCCAGATCTGTCAGCAGTGGCGGCGTCGGGCGGATAATCCGGCGGCGGCAGGGGCTCGGGGCAGACGGCGGGGACACGCGGGGCAGACAGCGCGACGCCGGCGGCGGCCGTCATCGCTCCCCGCCGATCGATGGCGGCATGATTCGCCGGTGCCCGCTGACCAGACTGGCACAGAGGGGCCGCCGTGAGGCGGTGTGCTTGCACGGCCGGCCGCCGCGGGGGGAGGCGAGACGGTCCCGGGTGGCCGGTGGCGAGCAGGTCCGGCCCCCGCCGACCGACGCCGCAGGGAGGGCCGCGGTGACAGAGCACAGCAGGGCTGACCGGCACAGAAGGGAGGGAAGTGAGGAGGGAGAGGAGGGGTCACGCCCAGCCCTCGCCGGCCGGCATACGGGGGCGCGCGGCGCAGGTGACGGGGCTCATCCCACAGGTGACCGACGCACGCTCCGACAGGCGCGTAAGAAAGTCCTCGCCGAGGCCGGGGCGGACGGCCGGGAGGTCCGGCCGCCGGTCCATCGCCGGCGGCGGACAGGTGCCGCCGGGCTCTGATTACCCGGCCTGATAGATCGGCCCCGACACGTCCTGTCCGTGAGCGAAGAGCGGAGCGCATCGCACGGAGCGCGGCGGCGGCCGGACGACCACCGCGCGCAGATGCTCGGGACGAAGCCGATTCGGTGGGCTGTGACCAAGGCGCCGGCACCAGTGAGAGCACAGTGGTCTATAGCGCCATACGATACATCGTGGCAGGGCACGTCAAATTTAGGATGATACTCCCTGCCACTGAAATACTGGGAGAGTAACATGCAGCCGGCAAAGACCTTTCATGGGCTGTCGTCTCTGCTCCCTTCCGTTCCAAGCATTGTCTTCATGCAGAGCCCCCGCGTGTTCGTGCCTCTAGTTCGCTGTCGCCATCAGCAAGCAAACCGGAGGGTGCGGCATAACTACAGGCTGACACACCTGTGAGCAGGCAGCGAAAAGGGGCCGACACACAACCGGGGGCGGCGAAAGCCATGCCCCCACTCCCCGCCGACGACCGCAGGCCAATTGCAAGCCGACTCCGACACTGTTGTCCACCGGGCGGGGGCGCCAGGGCGGGCGGGCTGCACTGCTGTCCCCAGGCGGGGGCGCCAGGGCGGGCGGGCTAACACTGCTGTCCCCAGGCGGGGGCGCCAGGGGCGGGCGGGCTGCACTGCTTGTCCCAGGCGGGGGCGCCAGGGCGGGCGGGCTACACTGCTGTCCCCAGGCGCGGGGCGCGAGGGTGGGCGGGGCTTCACTGCTGTCTACCAAGCAAGGGCAAGAGTGCGGCGCCTCTCACGACCGCTGGCCGCGGACATGCGGCCCATCTATCATGCGCCATGCGGACGCCGTCGGCATGAGCCGCCCGAGCCCGCACACTGGGGGGGGGGGGGGGATCGATTGACGGGGTTTGCGTGCGCCTCGGGGCGTCCACCGGCCGCCCACCGCTGCTTACTGTTTCGCACGAACGCAGCTACAGAATGGACGAGACCTGAATGTACAGTAATTGGCGGGCGTAGGTGACAGTTTGATTGGTGGGGTCGCCGAACGCTTAGGGAACGGCAAATCATTTGAGCAAGCGTGGTGGTAACGACCCACTTCACCTACTTATGTCCCAAAGATCCTACTGATAACATTTAATCGAGAGATCACATAATGCTAACCGTTAAAAGCACTGGTGCTCAGCGTGAAAGCCCAAAGACAATAGCAGTATCATCATAATGTTGTCCCACATATGACTGTCCCACTTGTTGAAGAGACTCCCTTTCACTCTACAGCTCGACAGAAGAACGACTTAATGACATTTTGATACGCTCATATGCACTTGAGTTACTCTACCCGAACAATAATAACAGCATAAAAATAAACATAGCGGTAAAGGGTTCATATAACAATGGGGGGGGGGGGGGGGCTGGGCAGGAAAAAATGGCGAGACCTAACCCAAATACATAAAGACGTGTTTCACCCGGATCTAGCTCACTTTCCTCTCAAAGTTGCGGGTTGGCTGCTAGAGCACCTTCAGATGAATAGAACGCTCTATCCCTGCACAAACCAGACACAGACCGCGATTCTCCGCGTCACCATCCAACCGCACTATCGACAATCGCGACGTTTGGCCCTCTGCGGAGCATTCAAGTACATTTATTTCAAAAGAGGGTCATCGCATCCATCCGGGAAAAGAACCCACTTTCAGGCAGCGACATTGAAATATGCTTCCGGTCACACCGGAAGGGTTCGGCCACAACCAGAGCCGCCGGATTTCTGCTACGGTTCGCATGGGCCCTCTCCACATGGGTGGGGTCCACAGCCACATCAGCCGAGGATGTGCTGAATGCGCTCCCGAGCAGGTGCTGTCCCCCGCGGCTTCAGTGGCACGCGCCAGTACCGCGCAACGCTGAGTTTCGATGCAGCCGCGAGGCGCTGTTGATCGTGTTGCAAGGGGTGCAGGCGAGACAGAGCTTCCGGCGACGGGCGATACAGCCCGCCATTAGTGCTGAATTGCCACGACATCCGGCCCCGGATCGGCCGACTTGGCGCGTGCCGCATGCGAGCGAGCTCAACTGCGCAACAGGGCGCTGCTCCGATTCGCCGCCTCGTCATCTGAGGCCGTGCCGTCCTGCGTCCTCACCAGCAGCGGCAGCGGCAGCAGCAGAGGCGCAGCGGCAGTCGGTCGGCCGGTGTTCGCGGCCGGCCATTGTCTCAATTCTCACGTGCTCTATCGCACTGGAGAGCGTGTGAACCGATCGAGCAGGCCGGGCGGGCCGGGGCGGCGGCCGGAGGCACGGCCGTACGCCGCACGCCGCAGGCTGCCGACAGCGGCGGCGCCGCGGGCCGACAGCGCTCGGTACTCACGATGTACAGCTGCTTCCATCGCTCGCTCCACTCCCTGAGCACCTGGGTCACCTCCGTGACCACGCTGTCTTCGATGGGCGTGATCACCTCCTGGGGCCTGAAACGACACAGCGCGCCGGTCAGACAGCATTTGGCGCGGTCGCAGCGCAAACGAGAGCCTGTTCGGCTCTCGAATGGACACCAGCTCGGCCGGCGAGGCGTGAGGAAAACTCTGGCCGGCTACAGCGACAGGCAACCATGCCCAGGTGGCGGCCGCATAATCCCAGGCTCGGCAGGCCGCACCTAACCATGAATCAAGCAGGTGTGCCATGGCATCCGTGCATTGTTGACCGCCACAGTTTTTCGAGAGATATACGCCAATTGGTGCTGATCGGATGGTTCCGGCCCTGCACGATAAAAACAAAATACAAAGCTTTGACGAATCTTCGAACGCCGAGGACGCGGAAAACGGGCAAAACGCCAAGTCCATGAATCGCGTGCACTTACGCCGACAGGACATTGGCGGCCAATGCATCGGGGCTGCGAGGCTCAAAGGCCCAGTATGGCATGGACGACGGGTGCGCTGAACCCGACCGAATGACGGCGCAGAACTGCCGGCAAACCGCCGGACGGGAAACTGCCCGGTCACGACTCGAGCGCGGCGCGCCGATTTCCGAGAGGCTGCGTCGTTAGCCGGCCGCGGTGGCGCCTCCTCAGGCACGCGGCGCGCTGCTCGCCGTTTCCCGAGCTCTCGGAGGATGACGGACGCGTGCCGGCGGCGCTCGGCGCCATCGCCGGCCCCGCCGCCGCCCGCTACGCCGGCGTGGCAGCCGCCGCGCTCAGGCCGGGCCAAGGCCGTGTGGCCGAGCCGGCGCCGCCTTCTGGCCGCGCCGACCACGTTCTTTGGCCGCCGTGCTCGCGCTCGGACCCTGCTGTATCCGCGCAGACGACGTTCTCTGGCCATGCTGTGCTCGCGTCCGACCCTGCTGTAATCCGCGCAGACAACGTTCTCTGGCCATGCTGTGCTCGCGCCCGGACCCTGCTGTAGCCGCGCAGGCGCGTTCTCTGGCCATGCTGTGACCGCGCACGGACACCCTTGCCATGGCGGGCGGCCAGCCGTATCACCAGGGGCGCCGCCGGCGGTTCCCGTCACGCGCGGGACACCCGCCAAATTCGGCACATACACACACACACACACACACACACACACACCACACACACACACACACACACACACACACACACACACACACACACACACACACACACACACCACACACCACACCACACACACACACGCGCGCGCGCGCGTCGGACTCGCCCGCGCTCTGGGAAAACCTCTCGTTTGGCGCCCGCCAGTGGGCACGTGACTGGTAGTGACGACGTGCGGCACAGACCGACCGCCAGCTCAGCCGAGTCGCAGCCGGTGGCAACAGCGACGCGACACCGACTCGGCAGGCACGCGCCAAGGGCTCGAGCGCGCGTCGGTCGCCTCTGACAAGGCGCCGAGACTCAGCGATGTCTGAGGAGCAGGCGACACGTGGCCGGCGCCAGGCTTTAGACGCCCGGCGACGAGACGTCACGTGCCAGAAGGGGGGGGGGAGGGAGGAGTCACAGCGGAGTGACGCGGTGTCGTACGACCACGCGCGCCCGAGATGGATCTGCAAATCCTGATTAGGTGACCAGGTCACCACCGAGGCGGTAGCAGAACCATCTGGGGTCACGAAACCACCTAGAGAGCGATGGTGTATGACGAAGGAGCCCTGCATGGCCACACAATTCCTTCATCAGTCCGTGAATCCCACATGTCCATTAAGGAGGGCGTAGGCCGGCGGCCACCAGCGCGTATCCACGTATCTCAGAAAACACCATCAGCACCTGGCCCACGAGCGGTCACACCGCGGCCAGGGGGCGTCCCTGCCGGGGGGTGCGGTCCCGAGGCGCTGCCAGGCGCACCGTTGTCAGCCGCTCTATTTTGGCCGGCGCGTCCCCCGCCGAGCAGGGAGCGTCGGGTCCGACGCGGCCCGGCCGCCGGCGCCGCCAGCTGACTCACGGCGACAGGCTCCAGCGGCGGCCTCCGCGAACCGCCGCCGCTGGCGCCGACACAAGGCGTTCGCCGGCGCTGGTGACGCGGCGGCTCCGAGCCCCGCCCGTCCTGGGAGCGCGGCCCATCGGCCGGTCTCGGTAGCGTGACGAACGGTCCACGGTACGTGGGCCAAGGTGCCGAAGTCCAGACATCCCCAGAAAATCGCGCTGCCAGCGTCGATCGGCAAGCAACATCAAAGCAAGCTCTTTCTCGATCGGAGCCCAGTGAGATGCAGCTGGACAAACTGTCCCCCTCCAAAAAAGAGAGCCTTCAACGCCACCTGTGCCGAACACAAAGTCTTCAGCCGTCTAGTCCTCGGCACAGATACCTCGGCTCTGCTGCACAGCTCAGCGGTCCAACAGCAGCTCACCGCCACGCCGCACAGCAACAGTGCAGCGCTGGACCGGTTTCGCGCTCACTTTCCATCGTCTGACCTGGCGGCCGGCGACCTATCGCGGCCGGCGCCGGGCACATGCCGGCGCGCGCGGCCGGCACGAGAGTGAAAGCGGCCGGCGAGACGCGGGCCCGAGGGAGCGCCTCACCCCGGCCGGATCAGGGGCGGCGGCGGCCAGCGGCACCGGCCGTGATCGCGGTGAAAACCGAGAGTGACGGCAGGACCTGCCGACGCCGACAGCCCGCGGGTGGGAGACGGCTGGCTGCCGCGCCAGGTCGTTTAGAGAGGCGGCGGGAGAGCGGTGTCGCCCCGAGGTTCGGGTCACCGTGTACGCGAGAAGACTGACCACTGAAGTCCGCAGCATGCCGAAAGGCTTGACAAGTTCCATTCTTTTCGGTGACGGCCTAGCCCGATACACATAAGTGCATCCTGCAGAAATAACTCTTCACACAGAGCCAGTCCACGATACAACACCGCGCACCCCGTGACGCCTCCCACCCCGCCGGCGCCACCGTCCCGTTCGATCGCCCCTGTCCCGACATCTCAATAACCGGTCCGGCCTGGCCCGCCGCTAATACACCGACTACGGCGCCATGCCGGAGGCTGGGGACGCGGCCGCCGGCACGGCGCTCGCCCTCCTCCCCCTCCCCTCCCCGGACCCCAGACGGCCCACCGGCTCTCAGCCAGACCCGGCCGCCGCCGCTCATCACAGTGCCACCGGGCTCATTACGGGCCCGCGGCGGCCGGCACGGGGCCGTGTGCGCGGGCCTGACATCGCGCGACACCCGGACCGGCCCGGGTGGAGGCGCTCCCGGCCGTGGGCAGGCCGGCACGGGCCGTCCCCTCCGCGGCCGGCACCGGTGCACCGCGCGAGAGCGACAGCGCGCCGACGGGTCGCAGCAGGAAGCTGCTCGTTAGGCCGGCGCGGTGCATGGACCGCCGGGACGGGCGCCCGGCCGGCCGCGACCGCTCGGGGCCGGCGGCGGACCACCGCGGCGGATGGTCATCAGGCAACGGCCGAGCAGACACATGGCGGGTCTCGAGACGACGGAAGAAATCTTAAACACGGCCATTAGGCCACCATTACCCAGCCCCGCCGCCGCAGGATGGTCACCCAGCTGACTACCGCTGTTCGGGATAATTCGTCATCAGAGGCGGTTTCTTTTTCGTGGCTGACTCCGCGGCTCACGGGAGTTCGTGGGTGAAAAGGCGTCGACAAACAACCGATGGAAACACTTTGGACCTCGCAGCACGGATAGCATAGATAAAGTCGTCCCATGCAATCAGACCAGTCGTAGGCGACTGCACCAAAGCTGAAAGGCGGAACAATGGAGCGGCAATTTTGTCGATATCTTTCAGACCCGAGAAACCACTGATCTCCTTTTCGGGTCAGTGGAGCCTGGGCGCTCGCAAGGCCCGTTCAACAGCTAACCCACAGGCGGCAGCAGCCCAGCACGGCCGGTCTCGCATGACTGAAACAGGACGAGGTCCAGGCGCGCCGCGGTCGGGACCAGGAACAAGCAGACTTCAGTCATGCGAAGAGCCGCCATGGGGACCAGAAACAGCGGGCTTCAGCCATGCGAATCTTCAGCGCACATGAGACCCACCGCCGCTGTCGAATCGCGAGCTATCTATAGCCCATCTCCTCGGGAGCGCGGCACGTCGTCCAGAGCGTACCAATGCCATCTCCCCTCCTTCTCATCCATCCGGTTGCGTGCGGCAGCAGCTCAGGGAAACTCGGTCCACGTGCGTCAGCCGTCCGCCGGCCATCACACGAGAAAGCCCCTCCAATCCGGCTGGCCGGCCGCCCCGACAGCCGCGCACGAGTAAAAACAGAGCCCGGGCCGGCGCCGGTTTCACCGGGAGCGTCCTCGCGACGGGCACGGAGGAGCTGGCGCGAGGACCGCCGAGCCGACCGGACCACGTCCTGCGTGCCGCCGCCTGCCAGCCTGGCCCGGC